CATCAGTCTGGCTTTTTGATGTGGCATTCTCTGATGTTGAATCAGTTGTTCTCTTGTGCCACATGTCGTGCATATAGCACGAAAACCTGAACATTATCTATGTTCATGTATATGTCTGCACCATCCGCATTGCCCACCAGGCTTGCCTTGGCTATCATGCAAATGGTGATTAGATAATGCATAGACTGCAGATTCTGTCTACCCATTCGTATTGCTTGATCTGTTCTGTAGCAGTGCTACTATGGCTTTACCTCCGGGTTATCTATTTACATTGCTTCTTATTGGGGTATAGGCTAGCACAACGTTGATTGTTCTGTCAGCAAGTTCTCTGGCCATGAAGTGGCAATGATGTCTTTTGTCTCAACATGTACTTACAAAGTGATCAATTGCTTTTGTTGTAGAATGCCTAAAAGACTTGAATTCCAAACAATATATTCTGAGATTCACTCATAAATGATCCTCTTGTCTTGATTATATTTCATCTGGATTTTTCGGATGGTCTAAGTATTCAGTCTGTAGAGGCCTTCAATTCCTATAATAATTCTAATTTTAATGATTTGTTTATCTGGTTCAGAAATTTTGAATTGGATAAAACATTGTTTGACATGTTGTCAGAACAAAGTAAATTCAAATATGGTATCAGTTGTCTTCCCCAAGTTAGTTTTAGTTGTCTCGGGGCAGTGACCTGAAAGAAAATCTGGGATTTGCATATTAATCCTTTCTAACTGATTAAAGATTTAACAGCCATCTTAGGTTTGTTCAATACATTCGCATCAGTTCTATGACCCTTTGATCTTTTGCTTATAAATTCTGTGTCTGATGTGCCACCTCTCACATTGACACCCAAAGAACGAGTGAGACTCCAAAAGCTTGTGTCTTCAAATAAATCTGTTGGACTATAACCTGGTGTCATGTGATTTTTGACCTTGTCCACCCCAGTCCATTACTGGCACCTCCACATCATGATTACCTGATCACAACTTACTGCTTAATGCAGTAGTAGTGCTGCTGAGTTTTCTATTTTACAGGGTTAGTAAAACCATGAAAAGCTCTCAGAAAGGCTTGCTGTAGCTGTTAGAAACTGTTACTGAATAGATAGATACTCTTTTCCAACCCAGTCTACAGATTTTACATTCAGCAACAATTATCTCCTCGGTTTGTGACATCTGCTGAAAGTGATGTTCAAACCAATCTCTGCTTGTAAGTTTGGCTCCTGAATAAACATAACAGCAGATAGGTTTTACTAGTTAAGCTCTTCCAGCTTTGAAAATGTCACTGGGACCCAATGCCAGCTGGCTGGAACAAGGTGTGATTCCAAAACAAGATATGTGTATAAAATTCTGACAAACAACAGAATTATTACACATGCTGAATCTTTTGATTGTTGTTTTCCTTCTATACTCAGTTCTATATTCAGCTGGATATGAAATGATACAGGCTTGTGTATATTAGAATGAAATCATCAAAATCATTCTGCAAACATAGAGTCTGAGCCATAGTGTCATACAGCACATAAACAGACCCTTCGTCTAACTTGTCCATGCCGACCAGACATCCCAATCTCACCTAGTCCCATTTACCAGTATTTGGCCCACATCCCTCTAAACTTTTCCGATTCATTTACCCATCCAAATGCCTTTGAAATATTGTAATTGTACTCACCTCCACCACTTTCTCTGGCAGCTCTCCATACATACACCACTCTCTGTGTGAAAAAGTTACCTCTCAGGTGTGTCTTAAATCTATCCCGTCTCACCTTAAACCTATGACATCTAGTTTTGGACTCCCCCACCCAAGGAAAAAGACCTTGGCTATTCATGCTATCCATGCCCTTCATGATTTTATAAACCTCTATAAGTTCACACCTCAGCCTCCGTCACTCCAGGGAAAATAGCCCCAGCCTATCAGCTCTCTCTATAAGTCAATCACTCCAGTCCCTGCAACATCCTTGTGAATCTTTTCTGCACCCTGTCAAGCTTGACAAAATCCTTCCTACAGAAGGGCGAACAGAATTGCTCGCAGTATTCTAAAAGTGGCCTCACCAATGTCCTATACAGCCACATATGATGTCCCATCTCCTATAGTCAACGTTCTGACCAATGAAGATAAGCGTATCAAATGCTTTCTTCATCACCCTGTCTACCTGCGACTCCACTTTCAAGGAACTATGCACCTGCACCCCGAAGTCTCTTTGTTAGGCAATATTTCCTGGGGCCCTACCATTCATTGTATAAGTCCTGCCCCGATTTGCCTTACCAAAATGCAACACCCTGATACAGAAGGCGTACTTAAAAATAAAAAATCTTCAGAAACCACCTGTTGCCATTATGTTGCCTTCTTTTAGATGTAAACAAACAAATCACATAGATTGATGGAACAATAATCCGGGTTCTTTATTTGAAAATAAAGCTATGTAAAATGTTATTGGGAGACAATGCACTCTTCATCTGACCTATATCCATTGTCCTTCAGACTGCCCAACAGGTCATGTGATCAATAATTGATAGTGGATTACATTATATCCCTTAAAGGTGAATGTATATCATATTGTAACAGCACTCTCTCTCTGACTATACCTTCTATCACAGCATGCTGCTCTGTCGAAGTTCAAATGCCTCTGATTAACCTACCAACTCATTCACCATCCTTAATTGGATGGCAAGCTCCAGGCCAATTAAAGAGACACCCCTGTTTCCTGGAAGTTGTTTTGGCAACTGGGAACGATCTTGAATTATTTCCTGCTCCTGCAGAATGGACGTGCACCTTGAGCTATTAGCCCACATTTTGAAGTTTACTGTCGCTGATAATTTTTGCATGAACTTTTGACTGGTCGTCTATGCTTATTAGAAACTCTTTTCAGTCCAACAGCCTCCACAGATGATATTACGAGAAGAGTGAGTGAGCAATAGCTTCAGCCAATCTTACTGAAGAATCTTTACTGAGACAGAGTGGAGACAGGGGTTATTTTGTTGAAAGGATGAAAGCTGACACTGAATGTGCGTTGTGCTTTTCAGGCACACCTATTTGCAAATTTGGTTTCTGCACACAATTTTCATAATTAATGCCAATTACCACATCTGATTTTGCGTTAAGGTGCAAAAACTGGCACCCTCAAATTGAGCACTCAAAGACAGCTTAGTTGCAAACTTCATGGAGCAAAATGTTGCAGGAACTACTCAACAATTCATTTATGCCACATTTCAGGATGATTCGGGGACTGAGGAAGAGGACCAACAGACTCAGCACAGGAGCTCCTGGTGGAAGTATTGCTCGGGAGGATAAATGTCTTATAACTCCAGGGGTATAGGGGTTCCCCTAGCCTCCTTTTCTTGTATGTTTTTTGGGTAACTGATGAGTAAAGGCAGAAACTCGTGCACTTCATGTACGTTAACTCGGAGTGTCTCAAATTAAATCGAAACTTGTGGCTGAGAAAAGCAAATCGGATAGCAACTTGTAGAGTTGACTACAGATGTTTAGATGGAGGAAGTTACTGTCTGATTTAATCCCAAATAATACTGAGTGACGATGCTGCTGCTCTTTGTAGCTAGTGTTACTATGAAACCTGCTGTCATATGACATGGTCATCTGTCTTAGACAATCCTTACACATCCACTGTAGCTCATCTGCAACCACTCTGTGATGTCTGTTGTCCAACTAGCCTTATGTTGATCCCTCTTTGTACTGCCCTTCACATTGCGCTCTGCAGCCTTTCAGCTTTGATCAAATGACCAAAATACTGACATTTTGTTCTGTAGATATCATTTTTTAGACTTCATTTTCCTCTTCAGATTTCAAGTACTTCTTCATTTGTTTTATATTCAGTACATAGAACTTTAAGTATATGCCTGAGCTTTTACATTTCATTGGCCTCTATTTTCTGCCATAGATCTTATTATCCAGGTTTCTGAAGCATAAAGTGAATTGGATGTCAAAACTTATAAGGCTTTTCTATGTTAGTTTTCTTACTGAGAACACATCCTTCATCTGCCGATGTTACTTTTACCTTTGGAGCCAAATGATCTGATTGGTTGTTTAAGCTCAGAAGGCCATCACCAATATTAAGCATACAAGCAGACTGACATTATATTGAGGTCACTTCGTGAAATGCAAATAAGAAAAGCAGCAGATGGAAAATAAGCTACTTGGTATGTTGTGAATATGAGACATCATTACAAGAGCCCTCATCTGGTGAAAGATCTATATCAAATGGGTGAGAATGATTTTATAATGCAGAGAGCCTAACTGCAGTATTAATAAATGTATGAGTTGTGATTTCCTTTCACAGGCAAAACTATAAATGCACTTTGAATCATATAAATGATTCACTGTGTCAATACATTTTTGTGTGTCAAGATTCTCATTTGAAATGGTTTCACTGCATATGAGGCAAAAACATGAGAATAGTCTTTACTGCAAATTATACAGTTGAAAAATGCATAGCTATTTCTTGCTATCAACAAAATCATGTTGTATTCCTTTGCTGTTATTTCTAGCCCTGTATAAAAATGCCTGTTTCAATTTCTGCTTTTACTTTAGACTTTCTGTGGTTTTCTAATGTATTGAGCTGCACTACTATCATTCATTAATTTTCATCAGAGCATTAGTTTCTCACAGGGTCCAAGTTTATGACAGGGGTAGACATTGCATCTGAATATAAACTGTCCGAGAAAAGTAGTTAGCCAGGAAAGGTACAGTATTAACTGCTGGTTATATTCAAAACAGCAATTCTAGAGATGGGAGACAACCAGACAACTGCAAGGTAATTCTTTAATACAACTTATCACATTTCATTTAGATTTCAATCAAGTTTGTGATCAAAACATGTACTTTAACCCATATTTCAGCATGTCATAAAAACACAGAGAGACTTGATTGATATTCTGCAGTCACAATGCTTAGCAATTTGTCTGACATGGGTCATCAACATAACAGCATAGCTTATTCTGTTTGAAATAATTTCTTTTGAACCTATTGACTATCATTCACTTTGTGCTCTTCAGGGAAAGGCGAAGTATCTTGAAGTTATTAACAAATACATGGAAATCCATGGAACTGTTTACTATGAGACACATTGGCCACCAGAGATGCCTATGTTTGTCAAAAACCATGGCCTATTACCTCAACATGAGCTACAAAGACTACTAAGGAAAGCAAAGGTATTGAATCTTTCTCTAGTGATAACCCTGTCAGTACTGCTGATAACACTTTTCTTGCATCTACTTTCATTAACATACAATGATGTTTGCAGTTTTTTTTTAAAAAATGCTTCCAATTTTCATTGATTCAATTCAGCAATTATTTTGTATTATAAAATACTAGTTAAACATTTTAATTGGCATATTTATATTATAGTATTCCCATTCTTGTTGCTGTTATGTAATGTTTAATTTACAAAATTAAATTATCCTCAGCTTCATATCTTTTAGTTTTATTATTGCTGACTGTCTTGAATAAGCATACTTCGAATGAAAGAGGTTTAATTAGACTAATCATTAAAACAACCTTAACTTCAAAGCTATAACAGATTAATTGTTCAAAGATGATATGGATATTTAAACTTTAGAAATATTTTGGTAAGTCATTTGTTCCTTGTCCCATGGTCATGCAATGAAAAAGATACCTAGGATGTTGATTGGATTCAATTTATGTACATTATTGTTTTACTCATTTAGAAGATTTATTGCTTGTTGTCTAATTGCCTTACAGAAAGTGGTGGTGAGATGCACCTTGAACTGATGCAGAGTGTTGCTAATGCAGTAATTCCAGAATATTGACCCAGCAACGTGAAGGAATGGCAGTATGATTCCAAGTCAGAGTGGTATATGACTTAGAGGGAGATATCTAGGTGATGGTTCTCCAAAGTATGTGCTGTCTTGTCCCTGACAAATTTTTTTTCTATTCATTATTTTGGGGTGTGAGCGTCGCTGGCCGGCCAGCATTTCTTGCCCATCCCTAGTTGCCCTTGAGAAGGTGGTGGTGAGCTGCCTTCTTGAACCACTGCATTCCTCCTGCTGTGGGTTGACCCACAATGCTATTAGGGAGGGAATTCCAGGATTTTGACCCAGTGACAGTGAAGGAACGGCGATATATTTCTAAGTCAGGATGGTGAGTGACTTGGAGGGGAACTTGGAGGTAGTGATGTTCCCATATATCTGCTGCCCTTGTCCTTCTAGTTGGAAGTGGTCATGGGTTTGGAAGGTGCTGTCTGAGGATCTTTGGTGAATTTCTGCAGTGCATCTTGTAGATAGTACACATTGCTGCTACTGAGCGTCGGTGGCGGAGGGCAGAAGTTGCAGATTTGGAAAGCGTTGTCTAAGGAGCCTTACTGAGTGTTTCAGTCATGATGTAGATGGTTGACATTTGACGCTGTGTGTTGGCGGTGGAGGAAGTTATGTGAATGTGTTAGGTGAGCTGCCAATCAAGTGGTCTACTTTCTCTTGGATATTGTCAATGAATTTTATTGCAGCTACACTCATCCAGGTAAGTGGAACGTATTCCATTCCTGTACTGGTAACTTCTAGACAGTGGACAGGCTTTGAGGAGTCAGGAGGTAATTTTTTCACTACAGAATTCCCAACCCTCAACCTGCTTTCAAGCAACAATATTAATATGCTGACCCAGTTCAGTTTCTGATCACTAGTAACCCCCATGATGTTAATAGTGGGTGATGGTAGTGACAATGAATTTCAAGGGAAAATGCTTAGGTTCTCTCTGGTTGGAAATGGTCATTGCCATATGGAGGAAATATTACTGACTTATCAGCCTTAGCCTAATTGTTACCTAGGTCTTTCTGCATCTGGAAAAAGACTGCTTCAGTATTTCAGGAGCAGCCAATCATCGGTGAATATCTTCACCTCTGACCTCATGGTAGAGGGAAAGTATTTTTGAAGCAGCTGAGAATGGTTGGGCCTAGGAGTCCCCGCAGTAATCTCTTGTGGCTCTGTTGATTAACCTCCAACAATCACAAACTCTGAATGTTTATTTTTGCTATCATACGTTCCTTAGAGTACAAAATCACTGTTAAATTCCAGCGAAATTTCTTGACCAATCTTTCCTGAAACAGACATCGCAGCTGGTGATTAGAATTTGCATCCAATGAATGAAAATTAAAAGAGGAGTCAAAGGGATATAGTCAATCACATTCAAAGTGGTACTGACCTGTATGGCAGGACATGGATGTTTCAAAACCCTGGAGGAGTGATCCTGGTCTTCTCCTGCAAGAACCAGAAGTCTCTCCTCATAGCGTGGTGAGGACCCTGATGTCATGCACACCTCCACCCATCCAGTCTCTCTCTGCCCTATTAGGGGCTATCTTCTCCTGCAATAAGAAAATGGGAGGAAAGAGTGAGATAATACTGGGTGGCATGGCTGTCATTTCTGGTACATGTAGCAGGAAGATGGTGAGATGTAGTGAAGGACTGAGGAGGCAGCACAGAGGACATGCAATATTAATGTTGTGGGAAGCTGACAGAGGAGAGAGGGTGAGGGAGGATTTGGCAGACACCAGTGAGGGCATGAGCCTTGTTAGGACCTATGTGCAGTGGCATTGATATAGTGAGTGTAAAGTGTGAGTTGGCAAAGAGTATGGCACTTATTCTCACCCTAGTAGAGCGGAGAAAGTAATTGACCCACTGGCAACACTGCTAAACAGGCCTTCACACCTTTCAGACATCATTAACGTGGGCAGCAAGCTCAGATCTCACTGGCAGGGTTTGTTGGCGTGTCCCCCTCTGCCAATCCAACAGGAAGATAATGGCCCTATTCTGCACCTCCATGTAGGTCACTGTTGGTGAATTGTGACGCAAATTTCCCCTTCTTTGACATCTTGTCCTTTGACATGTCCTTTAATGAGCAGGGGATATTCAGAATGCCAATGTTTGTCTGGGTGCACTGCAGCATTTTAATGATAGCATGGACACAATGGTTGCCAGCCTTTGGGCAGGTATCTGCTGAGTGGAAGGTTGTTGTGGGAAGGGAAAGTGAAAAGAAAGGGTGGAAATTCAATGCAGAAGGCTTAATAGGGGCAGAGTAGACAAATAATGCGGCGAGTTCAGTAAGGTAGGATGAGAAAGCTTGCCAGGCCTTACAGCAACAAGCCCCCCAAAAAGCCCAGCACAGCTTAGACTTAGCCAAAAAAAAAGACTTCTATCGGACCCTACCCAGCAAGCTCTCTGCATGTATAGTACACATGATAATTCTATTATATTAGTCTTTGAATGATATGTGTGCATGTTCTAGTTGGCTGTTTGTCTGGTATCCTGATGTTCCTCCTCCAGAGAACATCATTCTTGTGGCAAGTGTCACACAGTAAATGTAGTTGCTGATCCATTGTTCTTCCTAGGGAATGATGGATCTCTGGGACAGATGGTTGTTCTGTAAATCTGTGCAGTTTGTGATATTACATCGTCCTGTTAAGAAGCAGCTTTTCTAGTTATCTGTATATGTCTGCAATTGTGACAATGTAGCTGGTCATTCACAGTCACTGTGTAGTTTCTAGAAACAACCAGTCTCCAAGTCACCAACCATGTTGACCTTGTGAAGTCAGCCATAAAATATTTGTTCAATGTCTTGGCTATTTTCTTATTTCCCAAAATAATATTTCTCTCTCTACTTCTGCTCTCAACTAATTGATGCTCCTAGCCTAAATACAAAGCAAATATTCACATGGAAAAGCCTCAGAGTTAGTAACTGTGCTAAATATTGCTTGAATTAATGCAAGCCAATGAAGTAATTTTGAAATATAAACGCTATGTGGGGATAAGCAGCAGCCAATTTTCACACAGTAAGCTCTCACAAACAGCAATGTGATAATAAAAACTGAAAGAACTGCGATGCTGTAAATCAGAAACAAAAACAGAAGTTGTTGGAAAAGCTCAGCAGGTCTGGCAGCATCTGTGAAGAGAAATCACAGTTAATTGAAATGTTAATTCTGATTTTCTCTTCACAGATGCTGCCAGACCTGCTGAGCTTTTCCAGCAATGATATAATGGTCAAACATTTGTTTTAACAGTATTAGTTAGGAACATACCGTGACCAAGACACCAGGGGAATTCCAATGCTCTTTTTTGAATAGTGCCATTGGATCTTTTGCATCCATTTGAGGATGCTGTTGGGGCTTCACATTATCATCTCATACATAAAAATAGCTCCTCTCACATTGCAGTAGTCACTCAGTATTGCAAGGATGGTGTCACCTGAGTGTACTGTAGTTTGTGGGCTGGGACTAAATCTCCTGACTCAGGAGACTCAGATTGTAACCATTGAAATCAACCTGACACTTTAATCAACATAAAGTAGAGAAACTCCATTTTAACCTGATTTTAGTCTTTATTTTTTATTGTACTATCACAGCTGTGAGATATATTTATTTTGCTTTTGTTATTTTAAATTATTATTACATTAATAAACATTGAAACTCTCTCCCTGGCCAACAAAATAATGATTCAGGTTGCAAAAGTAACAGATCTTTGCACAGTCTAGCCAGAAATATTTTTGAATAGCTGTTATTTTTAACAAGGATTTTAATTGCTGCATTGATGCAAACATAAAAAGATCAGGCATGAAATGATGAGATAGTTATCAAAATTACCCCACACCACAATGGTTAGACCATCATGGCTGAAAGCTTCTCCTTCTCCCAGTGGCAGGATTCAGTAAAAGCCAAGATGGGAGCCATTGAATCTACTGGGAAATGGGGGAAGAAAACACAGAAGAAGCATGTAAGGATAAAAATATTCTATAAAATTCCTTTCTGATCCCCTAAAGTGACCAACATCAGTTTAGGAGGTCACATGGATTAAAAGTTGCCTATATTGTGCGTGGTGATCTCTTCCCCTGTCAGGAAACTGGTCCAGCTCCCCCTTGAGAGCAAATAGAGAGTAGCACCCACTTACCACAGCAATGAACTTGACAATTCTATGAGGTAAAAAAGATAAGAATTGCATTGATTGATTTAGAAGCGAAATGTCAGAAGATGCCTGGAGCTGAGGATAAACACCAGCACAGAATGGTTGGGCTAAATTGCTTGTATTTTTTGCCATTTTCCGATGTAATCCTACCCGTTCACCTCAAAATCTATGTTGCGTTGAAGTAAACAGAGCTCTAACAATTAACACTTTTATTTTCCATTTGTTAATGATTCTTACTTAAATTGCAA